CACAGCTCGGGGATCTCTTACCCGACAATCTCTCCTTTCATGGCTAAGGAGAGAGCATTAAGTTTTCCCCCACTTTCCACAGTCACACCAGGCATGGCCACAGCTCTACTTCCTACAAACCCACCATCTTCAATATCAATTTTGCCATACTTCACTTTGCCTCCTTCACCTTCATAGATGTGTCCAAAGAGCAAAGCTTCTCTTTCTACAGAACCGTATTTTTCTATCTTCACCATTTCAGGATTGAGCAAAGCTTCTGTGCTGTCTACGTATGCTCCTTGGTCCCAAGCAACTTCTGAACCCAGAGTTTTCATCCAAATCCCAAACAGAAACGATCCACTTGTCATTCCCATCAAATATTCTGCAACTAAAGTCCTTATAGCCTGCCATATGGTGTCCATATAGGTAGCTTTACTCCAGATCAGAACAGTTTCACCTTCTTCCTTCTTCCCTACCAGAATCCATTTGGTCAGAGTGCATAAAAGTCCACCTAAAAGTCCCGAGAAAACCCAGAACAAAGGCAACACCCAGATTTTCTTGCTTTCATTTATTGAAAAGATGCAGTTAAATGGGATATTGATCACTAGTCCCAAGAGAAAGTATGGCAGGAAAATTTGCAGCAGGGCTTGAACGGACGTAAGCCAGAGTGTCGTGTACCAGGTTCTAGCCAATGTCACTTTGCCCAATTCCTTTTTCTCTAACTTCGCTGCCATGGGACAGCCTGAGAAATCCAGTTTAACATCAGTTCGATCCAGGAAAATCCTCCATGTCTCTGGAAGTGGCTTGCTGTTTCTTAAATGTTGGCATATCTCATAGACTACTGAACGGCCATGATCAAGTGAGGCACTTTGATTGTAAGATGTAGCCCTGATGACATCCACTTCGTGACATCGAAAAAATGGGTTGAACTCCAGGCCATCCGATTCTTCCTTGGTCAGCATTTCATCAATAATTATCTCTCCCACCTCCATATACGGAAATTCAGTTTCATCCCATGGCTTGGTACAGTCTAGTGCAATCTCAGTTATACTTGCATCCTCAGGAACAGGCCGAATTTGCAACTGAAGAACGTAACGGACCTTGTCAGGAGAATTCACGCGACACTGGAAATCTTCAGCTAAAAAGAGTAGGGGCGAGTGTCTTTCTCATCTCTAGGGATTGAACCAGTATCGGGTGGAAGTATACCCATAGGCTCCACCTTGCCCGAGTCCTCAGCGATGTTCTTGTGAAGGGCCTCAACTTGAATCTGACATACATTTCTTGTCCATTCTCGAATCTAAATAGTCTGCTGAAATTGGAGTAGTAATGAAGTTCAGCATAAGAGTCTGGCTGTCGAAGAGATCCCCACATAGCATCCCGTACATGAGGAGCATGTTTTACATGCTCTTCTCGTGCAGCAGCTGAACATACGAGCCAGGTAGCAAAATCACCTATTGTACGAGCGTGGAACGCCTTGCCTGTTTTCAGCGTCAAATCAAGTAAAGGACTTTTTCCTTCTGACAGGATCCTTATTGCTGCACCACGTGGATCGCGCCTAGCATCATCATCAGAACTCAAGCAGTTACTGTGGCGGATAATTATGGGGTAACACCTTCCAGGAGAGAAGATCTTATGGTTTGGGAAGCCTGGTATGGTTTTATAGAAAACAAGTGATCCCTTTCCAGCTGCGCCAATCCGATGGAAGTACCTTGATCTTACTTTCAGGGTTGTGGCAGCTAAATTTGCAGCAAGATTTCCTAGAACTTTCTTATAGTTCACATCCATCTCTTCTATCCTCTCATCCAAGGAATACATGATGTTTCTGACCATTACTGGAGCTTGCGACCCTAAGTATACACCACCTCTCTGAAGAACTGTATTGCTGGGAGCAATTGAGATTGCACCAAGAATTACATCTCTCTCAACCACAGCACCAGGGAGGATGAGGCTTTGACTCCCAAGAACTGAGTTCTCCTGTATTTCAATTTTTCCATAAGTATATCCATCTTGGCAGTAATATCCTGGAGTGATCCGGCTGAAGTCACCCAAATGTACACCATCACCGATTGAGATCAATTTTGGATCTAAAACAGCGTTAATGGATCTGATGGAACAGTTCTGACCAATTTTTGCTCCCAGAAGACGCAAATACATGGCAAAAGCCTCTGTTCCTGAGAGGAACTTGGCGAATCTTACATGGCAAGCAACATTCAATCGGTGAGCAAACCAAGAGCTAAGATATTTTTCATTTGCTTCTCCTCTTTGAAGATAAGAACTCAAGATGCCAGTGAAGATGCTCAGGATAAAGCCATGAGCTGCATAACCAGCAGCAACTAAAAAGGCAGAAATGATTGGGTTTGAAGGGGCACTGTCGAAAATAGCTGCATAGGCCACCATTGTATAAGGCAACCAATGAAAAGCCCCACAAATGCAAAAGTATCCGAAGTGGTCAAGTGAAATATCCTTCTCAAAAATCCAAATGTAGAATAAATAGATAATGGCTGCTGATAAGCTGCTAAGACAACTAACCATGTAGATACCCAAAAACTGAATGGTAGACTCACTTCCGGAAGGCTTTCTTATGGTTTCTTGACACAGTTTTCCCTAAAGCCATCATGAATGTAGAAAACACAAAGGTCAGTTTATGTATCCCAATGAAAAAAATTGGATTTTTGATCCATATTCTTACTTTAGACAACATGAGATAATCTTTCATGCCCATGGCATCTGTGCTTAGATGATTTGAGTTTCTCAAGAATTGAGATTCATATGTTTCAAAAAACATTGCCGAGAATATAATGCAAATGGAACATTCATAAAAGAAGTCAATAGACGAGAACGCAAAAACATGGATATTTAGTTTGGCAAATCTTTTATCCAGAAATGTTTGTTGTCACAGTAAAGTCAATCTATCTCTCCAACATTTTCTGTTATGTCATCAGGATAACATGTGTTATTGTGCCAACATGACAAAGAAGATACGGTATAGGATATGCTTTAAGAAAAGGCCATTATAAACTTGGTTCTTTTGTTCATAGTTGCCAATAGAATCAAACCAAAATAATAGTAATCAAAGTCAATCCAAGGTTCAGTTCATGAAACAAGTAGATTTCTGGATTTTGCATATCTGTTGGGAAAAAGTAAAAGTTTACCAAAAGAACAAATCCACATAATTAAAGAAAGACCTAAATCCTACAGAAGAAGCAAGGTGAAGAAACTAGAATACCTACAGGCTTCAAATAAAAATTTGAAATGTCAAGTGATATGGAAGGCTGAGACACGAGCTCGGGTGTCTGCTCAAAATGTTCTCTGTGAATATTGGTAATAAACGATTGAGGTGTCTAGTCAAAATGTCCTAAATGAAACACTCGGATTGTGTTGATTTCATTAAAGTGACTTGCATGATATGTTGCTTTACATAATGCGTGTCTAGGGTCTGAATTGTATTTTGTAAGCTGAGCATTCCTTATTAAAAAGTAAAAAGCATCTATAGTAACTAAAATGAAACATCAAAAGCTTCTCTACGCTTTAGATCCATTCATAGCTTAATTAACTACGACAGATTTTCTTAACAGGAACTTCCAATTTGTTGGTATGACTAATGAAATTACTCGCACAAGAAGTTGAAAGGTTAGCTGTATTTGTACAAATGTGAATTCAGATCCAGCATAAACAGAAAAGCTGAATGGAAAAATAAAATGTATTTTCTTAGATTGCCAGTTAGTTCTGAGTGAACAAGGAGGTAAGAAGAATGCAAAATAATCAAGGCAATTCCATAAAAGCAATCACATTTGCAATAAAGTTTAAACCTTATGCTTGTAGGTTTTACTTACCTTTTGGACCACATTGGCACTTGAGTTCTTACCAGTCTCCGTTGCCTTCATATGTCTGCAGGGCAAACACTTCGCACCATCTCCGATAATACTTCGCCTTCTGAATTACAGCATAAGGACCGACAAAGGATTTTTGGCCCATTCGCGATTGGAGAGAATGATAGGATCCCATTTCTCACCACTCATGACTTTGAAGCAATGCACCTTCCGCAATAAACATCTTCTTCTCCAATAGAGACTAAAGATGGGTCTGTGATATCAATAGTATCAATCACAGCAGATGTTGGCAATCTTAGCTCCAAGCATCCTGAACCAGTGATTTAAGAAAACTGTTCCTCTCAAGTGTACTGCTAAAAATTTTTGAAGCAACTTCTTGAGCCTTGTAAAGTGACCACCATTTAACAAATCCCAGAGACCAAATTGAAATTTCTGGAGACAACCAATAATTTGGCTGCAAAACTGAATTCCCAAACAATGCTATGCAGAAGCAGGTCGAGCAAATGCAGAATATCCAAGATAGAGGAGCAAATGCAAGGAAATTAAGTATCCAATCAGAGGACTTCTTTGAAGTAATGGATGTGTCCAAGAGACAATGAACAAATGATATAACACGAACTGACAAGTATGCAGGACATGTCAGCAACAAGGAAATATAAGCAAGAGCAATAAGATGGGCTATCCAAATAATCAACTTTTGTGATTCTGAAACTTTGAAATCCACTTCAGCTCGGTTTGGTACTGTTTGTGTAGCAGTTGAACCAGGCAAGGTAGAACCAGGCAAAGTAGGAATAGAGCGGGATTTGACTAAAAGATTTTCAGCAAAATTCGCCAAGTCATCAATACAAGTTGCAGTAAAAATGTCGATTGCACCAACTTGAACTCCAAGAAAATCTGAAAGCCTTTGAGCTGCTCGTACCACACCAATGGAATCAACACCATAGGATACAAGACTCTCAGTGGTGGAGATCTTAGCACTAGAAATTCCAGTCTGCTCGGATAGCAGCCCCTTGAGAAATTCTATAATGTCTTTTTTTCTGACAGTACCCATTGTTGAAGAAAGATCTCCTGTTTTTTGAGGATGTGATGAATTTCTTTTAGACTTAGGAGTTGATTTGTTGTCTCTACTTGCTGGCTCAACTATTACACTCAATGTCCCATCGATGAACTTTTTGGCACATTCAAACCTCCTTATCTTTCCTGATGTAGTTTTGCTATGGACCTTGGCTTGATCAGTACAGTTGCAGCGACAATGACACCATGTTCTTCTGCCACACGGGTTTCAATCTTCTTAACAACTTCCTGTGACGAGAACTTAGTTTCTCGAACCTCAGCAATGACAACCAAGGCAATCTGGTCAGAAACATCAGGAACAGATATGCCTTTTGCCAATAAGATCTCACTTGGAACAGAAACAGCAGCACAGCAGCCAGGACGAAGAATTTCAGATGAGCTCTCAACTGTTTTCTCAATATCTGAGGAATAAATTTCGTCCAGCGATGATGATTAGATCTTTTATCCTTCCAGTAATGAATAATTTGCCTTCAATAACTCGCCCCAGATCTCCAGTTCTCAGGTATAGCTTTCCTGAGTGGTTGTCAAGCTTGTTTCTGAATGTTGTTTCACTTAGCTCCTTCATGTCCCAGTAACCAACTCCAGAACTCAAACTACTAACCCAAACTTCCCCTTCATTTTCTGATTTTTCAAGCTCTTTACCTGTCTCAGGATCTACATTCTGATATCCACATCCTTATCATTTGGATTGAAATAACCACAACAAACACGTCCTTGCCAATCAACCAAAATTGGCTTGTCCTCTCCATATGCACTGCACACATATACACAATTTTCTGCTAAGCCATATCCAGGAGCCATTACCTCTTGGGAGAGTCCAAAAGCCTGAGTCAGCTCAATAAATCGTTTCAAAGTAGCCGGCCTAATTGGTTCAGCTGCAGTCATGAGGAAAACTAAGGAGGACAAATCAAAATTCTGTACCTTGTTCAATTCTAATTTTCGAACAAGAAGTTCAAAGGCAAAGTTTGGTCCAGCAGTATGAGTTGCATGATTTTGCTGATAACCTGCAACCACAACAGTGGATCCCTGATAAATGTCATTGGTGAGAACAAAATGGCAGATGCCCCACTAACCATACTTGTAAGAAGTCCACCAATCAGTCCCATATCATGGTACTGAGGCAGCCAGCTTACAAGTATGGTCCTTGATGTACTCCTGTATCTTCTTCGCATAAGTTTCACATTATGGATTAGCCCACCATGAGTGATCATGACTCCTTTTGCTTCCCCAGTGGAACCGATGTGAATTGAAGAAAGCACAACTCATCTGATTTAGGTTCACTGAGATCATCCATGTCATTATATTCTGCAGAAATTATGGATTTCTTGATCCAAGCATCAGTGTGAAGCCATGGAAGATTGGGCCAGTGAAGAGAGGATTTGCTTTTCCCATTCAATAAAATCATGTTCTTTGCAGAAGCTGCACGAACAGTGAGATGATAACTAAAAGTTGATAGGATTGCAGCTGGATTGCACCTTTTTGCAATGTTGCTGATATGGAGAAGTGCTTGTCCTCCTCTTTGCAGAGGATCAGGAGGAATGACAGGTACAGGGACAACTCTAGCTCTCAAACACCCAAAGAAGGCATCAACGAAATCAAGGCCAGGGAGATAGACTAAGAGAACCTTATCACCAGGATTGATAGTTGGCTTTTGGCTTGTTAAGAGCTTGTAGGCAATGACTGAAGCATTTGTATCCATTTCTTTATATGTTCTCTGAGCTACCTTGTCTCCTTTTTCATTGATCCATGTGTAAAGAATCTTATCTTGAGTAACAGTATGAGTTGCCCAGTGTCTCAAATAGCTGTTGAGGGAAGGGAGATCTGGAAATTGTATCCCAGGGAATTCAATTGATGGCTTACAAGCTAATGCCAGCCTATTTGATTCAATGGAAGTAGTCTCTGCAAAGAACAAGCTTCAAGTCAGCATAATTGGTGGCTAATTTGAAACTTCTAGAATATGAAGCTGTATACGAAGTGAAGTGGAATCTCATGCCTTAACATATGGAAAATCTGGCACAGGAGTATTGCTTGCAAAGTGCTTCCGCATTAAAGCCATTGCATAGGATGCATTTCTTTCTGTTAGCTCAAATGCCATGAGCCCACCTATGAAATATGTGCTATTCTGACCTTGCAATTCATGTTCCAGCTTATCATAAAACCCATTCTTCATATCTGTTTTAGAAGGGAAAGATCAGAATATGTTTAGTGCGAAATAGGCATCTTTACCTTAAATCTACCCACATACCTTCACTGCTGACATGAGGAAAGTACTTAAATTGCCGTTGCAAAACCACTTTCTGAACTTGACCTCCCATATTTTCTACAGCATTTATTGCAAGATCAGTAACAGTTGAACCCCTGATATCAGAAGAATTTCCATAAGACCAGAAAAGAAAAATGTCCGTGTCTCCATAAAATCTCTGCATTGCAACAGGGTTTCCTAAAGTTGCAGGATCAATCATAAATTCTTCAAAGTAGTAAAATCCTTTGGAATATGCTCCAATCCCTTTGTCTTCAAAACGGTGGTATAATAGTCGATAGTTTTACTTTACTGAATAACTCCTTCTCAAGCATGCTCATGTCAGGCACTCATTCATACTTCCTACAATTGAAACCTGTTAAATAATGCAAAGAAATAACAGCAGCGAATTATACATGTTATTAGTTCAACAAACCTGGAAGGTTCGTGGAAGGTGATCTGTAAATCTTTCCACTTTTGAAAGGGAAAGCTCCTGAGATAATTATTTTATCAAACTCCATAACTTGGACAATTTCATTCTCATCTTTAACATTAAGAATGATGCCATCTGAGTTGCGCCTAACTGATATTACTTCAGTGTTCCAGCAAAATTCTACAGGCAGGCGCTCACATAACTTCTGCCAGAAACCCATGTAACCTCCTCTAAACCGCTGGATTTTTCCAGCCATGGAGGTCCTTGTGAACTCATGGACGTAAGCATAAGGCATGTCTTCTACAAATCCATACCTGAAGCTGTGAAACCATATGATACTGATTTAGGAAACGATTTTAGGCCATGATTCCTGAGAAAGGCAGGAGATAAATCTGAAGCAATTTTACTGACACCATGCACCCCAAGATGACCAGTTTCTTTCGCTTCATCCTGCAAAGAGGGAACATAAACAGAAATCAGTAGTTCAAACTAATTAAAAACAGTAGTCTGTACTAGTCTTTTGTGGCCTAGTCATAACTTACCTGAAGTTTCAGTGTAAGAGAGATCATGGAGACATAGTCATCCACCAATTTCATGTCACGAATTGTTCCTCCTCTACTATCAATTAGAGCGAAGATATCTTTATTTAAGTCCTCCAGTTCAGCCCCAGTTTCTTTTGCCAAATGAAAAATAGTGGGGCACTGTTGGCAGCCAGAACTTGACCTCCCAAATCATAAATCCTTCCTGTAAGACAACATTGCAATCTCTTAATCAGTTTCAAGTGTTTTATGGTCATGGCCTTTTTAGCTTGTGCAAATGAATTTCAAGTGATCGTTAAAAAATTCAGACAGAACTTATCATATAATGGACTAATAATCTGAACTACATAAGATTTGATTCTGTACAGCTACATTCGTTATCTGTTATCTGTTTTCTTATTTTCATTTAGGTTAATTTCAGGAAAGATCAATATATTGTTTAAGTTCTCCCCATTTATTCTCTGTGGCCTCAAACAGTCTGAAGATGAAATCTTGGTTAGTCAATTTAAGCATCTTACTATGAGACAAATAGACATTCTTGAATTATACATACAATTTACAATGCCTAAAGAACTGATAAGGACACTACTTTTGGATATAGCATCAACATTGTGAATTTAAGTCATACCATCAATGTCAACAGATTCACACATTCCTCCAGCAGATTGATATTTCTCAAGAACTGTCACATTACAGTAACCAAGTCTGGATAGAGCATATGCAGCAGATAATCCACTCGGACCAGCTCCCACTATTGCGATTCTTGTTTGGACAGGAAAGCATGGGTGCAATCTTGAGAACAAATCATCAACTGATACTGATGGATCCATATTCTTCCAACTAAAACATTCAAGCACAAAATCAATTACTAATATTAGTACATAACTGAAATGCGACATGTTACATGGCTTTGTTGATCATAATCTGACATGGTTAACAAGTAGCCTCTCTAATAGTATTATGAAGAAAACTAGGATCTGCTTGACAAGTATTACTGTTGATATGCCAGTCTAAATACTCGAATTATAATATTTCCTCCGAGAAAAACACAATATTCGGTTTATTTCAATATGTGTGATATCATCAAAAGTGTAATCCTTCAGATTCTAAAACTATGGATGCAGGTTTAACATTTCTCAGTGACAAGCAAAATTATCTTAACTCTTTAAACTAGGAATAGTAACGTAGGAGTACTTTAACATGCTCCTCTGTTGCAGAACAAGTGTTTTTCTAGAGAAGTCCACAAAATTGAAAAATTAACTATTTTGCAATGCTAGAAAAGTAAATTTTTTTATTCCAAATTGGTTTAACAAATAAACTGATGTTCTGATTAAAGCTTAAGTTTGCAAGTCTTTTCTAATTTGAATGTTCATTGAAAGTACTTTAAAGGATAACAAAATTGTATTCGATTAAAGGCAACCCTTCCTAACACCTTATGTGTAAAACGTTTGCCTCCGAAATAGCCAAATTTAGCTTCTCTTCCAATAAATACGCTACAAGTTTTGTCTTCACAGGTTTGTTGAATTGGTTGTCCACTCCCAGAAAAGCCATGTGTATTTCAAACTTCAGATTAAAATGATGATTTGCATTAAAGAAGATGTAATTCCTAGTAAAAATAAATCATAAAAGAAGATGAAGATTAAAAAAAAAAAAAAAAAAAAGAAGTCTAGAGTGGTTCTACTTAGAAATGTGCATTAATGGGGTACTTTGTGGGAGGTTTTTTTTCTCTAAACTTTTAACGGGATATTGGGGAATGGAGGCGAAAAATGACTTATATAAGGACACAAATGAAATTTTTAAAATTTTAAATAAAAAAAATAAAAATTTAAAATAATTTCTAAGCAATTCCTAAACTTTAAGAAAGAGTTACAAAAATTAATCATGCTCTTCTTAACGCACACGTGTAACCCATATAATAGAAGGGAATATGGTCTTATGAGTTTAAAACATTCATAACCATATGGCTCCATTTCAAATATTCAACAAGAAATTGAAATTTTCAAAATATGTTGGCGACTATTTATCAAATTTTCCAAGAAGCAACAGCGAAAAAACTATAACAAAAAAAATAAAGAACAAAAAGTTTTAGTCTTTCTCATATCCCTCCATCTCCCAAGTGCAACATTGCCTGACATCATCAGTTTTGTTCTAGTCTATCTGATATCCCTCCATCTCTCAAGTGCAACATTGCCTAACATCATCAGACAACAACATTGGAAACAATTAGACAAAATGGAATGAGCATTTGACTAGACATAGATTCTCCACAAATTTTTGAGTTCAATTTCATAGAATCTAATGTCTTCTTTTTCTCTTATTTTTCTTTGCTCAAAAAAAGACATAGATTCTACAAAATTGAACTAAAAAATTTGTAGCGAATTCAAAGAATACTAAATGCAAATAATACGCCAACTACATCTTACAACTATAGCATTTCACTATTTGTGTACACTCAACATTTCATCATGTAAACAACCACAACAACTTATGATTTTGTAGAAAGCAAAAGAATGCAAGCACAATAGATCAAATTAAGAAGACATACCTCGAGATGTAGCCTAGCAATTAAACTTGCAATGGGGAAGAAGCTATTTAATTGTTCCAAATATTTCTAGTTCTAAAGCAAGAGATGAGACTCATTTATTTACACATGCAAGTCATGTTACGTTGCAAGAAGCTGATGGTCAAACACGCAAGTGGAAATGTAAGGATCTGGTCAGGGAACAGCCAAATGTAAGCATACATGTCAAGTTCAGTTACATTCTCAATGATCATTGTGACGTAACTACCGGTACTTGACTTTCTAGTTTTTTTTTTCAATTTTTTTAGTAAGACTTTCTAGCTTACTTAATTTATGTCACTTAGAAATTTTCAACTGAATGATGAAATAGGTTTACAATTCAAAATTATAAAAGTTTATGCAGAAGGAATTCAAGCCATATTCTGTGCATTTAATTAGTTACGGGAAAGAAGAAAATTTATCAGCTTTGCATATCTTTC